TTCCACTGTCTAATGCACAATGCACTGAACTCTGCTTGATGTCAATTTTCTTTACAGGAAAACTGCATTTAAAGACTTAAGACAAAGGTATTGGTACACCTGTATGGTATATAGTACAGTCCAGTCCTCATGTAGAGTGTATTGTTTCTCTTGTAGAGTAACATGGTTGTGTCGGCTGGAATTTTAAGTTGTATTTACTAATCTGGTGCTCTTAAACAGTACTATGACAGGTTTGTTTATTCTAACTCTGTGTATGTAGCATTTTAGCAACAATTTTATAAATAATTACTAGCATGGGGTACATCTGATATTTTTCTTGTACTGTATGTATTAATCTGTATATGTGAATATTCTACTACTTAAATTGTTCATAACTATACTAAACCATAATTCATTGGCAGGAGTTAAGGACTAGTTGCTTGAATGAGTAAGAACTACTATTTGGTGATTACGTATTTGAATTATTGTTAAAGCATTACAAGACCAAAGTTTTTATGTAGCTTAAGCTGTGCCTTATCATTTTGAATGCATATATTAGGGAAAGCAGATTACACAAGAATTATCATTCATACTGACTGGAAGGAGATAACAAGGTAAATGGAGTTGAATTGTAAAGTATAAGTATTTTAAAAAGGTACTCTTATGTTCTTATCAAGCATAGATGTGAAGACATCTTCTTGTGTGTAAGTGCAGTTATACAAAAGGACAGGTAGGGAGGAAGAGGTTTTCAGTGCTTTTTTTAAGATTCTTAGTAATCCTCTTTCTTCATCTAATCTAATGATAATGCATATTATAATGCAATCCTGAAAAATAAAAGTAGATCAGTTTATTAGTGAATTACAAAGTTCAAATATCTGCAAATGTTGAATATCCAAGGAGTACCACAAACTATGCTGTAAGTGTTCACAAAAGTAAGTAAAGAATGTCCCATGAATCATCTTCAGTGACTTCAGATGTTCCAGTCATTAATAATGGAAGAAACTGAGAACTTGAGGGTCAGTTTAGCCATGGGTGTCATGTAATTGATATAAATAAGTGGATATATATATGTTCTAGGGTGACAGAACCACATCAAGTAACACCTATACAAAATTTCACTTTTAAACTAAATATCTAGACATGATAATGATGTGTGAGTGTTTGATATAATCCTGTATTCTCCTGGCAATAACTTAAATATGTATAAAGTGAATATATACATACACATGTATTTGTTTGTGTGTGTTTTTGCATGTATTTATCTTTTTTTCTCTTTCTTTCTTTATTGTGTTGTTTACCTGTTTCTTCACTTCTTTCTTGCTCATTCTGTTTTTCCCTCTTTCTTGGGGAGCGATATCTGAGAACTGTTCTTTGTAGAACATATTTTTCTCCATCATTTGATAAGAAACAAAATTGAAATGCAAATAAGTAACTAAGGTATAACATTCCAGGTTTACCATAGTTTCCTCATTAATCCTAACAAAACTGCATAGTAAACAGGCAGCTGCTATGGTACTACACAGAGAATTGATAGGCTTGGAGGATGCCAAGTAGAAGTGGAGGGGATGATATGGGACTATTGAGAAGCATAAAAATTTAGATTTGAAAAATCAATCTAAATGTTCACAACTTCAAATGCTGTCAAGAGGTATGCAAAGAAGGTACTTTGCAGACCTCATGAGAAGCATATCACAATGTTAAGGACTACTAAAAGGAATTAATAAGAAAATAAAAGTAAACTACTATTGGATTAACCCATTGGGTGTTGGTACATGTCCTGTCCACTATAGTTTTTTGTGAATTTTGTTGCACACAGATGGCTCCACAAGTGCTCAGCCACCAAAGAGTAGATGAATAGGCATTACATAACCTCACCTAATTTCCCAATTCCTTGTTTATATATTGTCTTTACACATAGTTGGCTCTTCAAGTGCTTAGTCACCAAGGAGTCAGCTAGTAATCTTACCTATCTCACCTGCTTACCCTTTTCTATTATTTTTATTGTCTTTGGTGTTATTAATATTTTAATAACAGTTTGATAATCATAATATCAGTAAGAATAATAATGTTAATATTCATAGTATTAGAAAGAAAAACACATTCTTCCGCAAATTCAAGAAATAAGGTGCGGTCACTAGGCCAACTGATAAACTCCTTGGTGGCTGAGCACATGTGGAGCCATCTGTATGTAGCAAATCTCACAAAAATCTAAAGCGGACAGTACATAAACAGGAAGACATTGGGTTAATACACTAAAATCTCAGTGGGCATGGCATGTATGTCATGCCATCCTGGCACATGGGTCAATGAAGTGTAAGAAATGTATAATTAATTATTTTGATTATATGTTTGTAATGAATTTATGAAGAATTGAAAAAGATATATAACAAACATATTTTTATTAGAATGTGATTCTTTGTCTTGAAAGTACAGCAAAACTTTCTCTAGATTCTTCTAATTTTTAATGACTAGCATCTAGATTATTTGCAGGTATTTATGATATTCACTGTGGCTTTTATATTAAGTTTAATATTTGATTGAAGGATATGAAATTCATAAGATCTGAGATGAAAACCTGTTAATTGATATTCAGTGTCCTTGAGTTTATTTTTCACAAACTTGTTTAAATCTGAGTACCTAGTATTGTAGATTTATTTCGAATGGTATTTTAAAAATTATTTTGATTTTTGAAATTTTGAGTTTTATGTTACATATTCAAGCATTTTAACAGAAATTGCATCAAAATGAAGTGAAGGACAATGTTTGCTGATGATGCAATTAGTCTCTATTAGATCTGCTTCAAACTCATAGTTTTTAATTGCATAGCCCTAATTGCTCAGTAGCACATTTGTCAGTAATGCTGTTTTTTGAATAGCATATGCTGTCCTTTTGCATATTAAGCCTGGTTTTCATTATGTTTTCTCTCAACTTTTTTAAAATTATTTTGATTTTTGAAATTTTGAGTTTTATGTTACATATTCAAGCATTTTAACAGAAATTGCATCAAAATGAAGTGAAGGACAATGTTTGCTGATGATGCAATTAGTCTCTATTAGATCTGCTTCAAACTCATAGTTTTTAATTGCATAGCCCTAATTGCTCAGTAGCACATTTGTCAGTAATGCTGTTTTTTTCTTGGGCTGAATAGCATATGCTGTCCTTTTGCATATTAAGCCTGGTTTTCATTATGTTTTCTCTCAACTTTTTTAAAATTATTTTGATTTTTGAAATTTTGAGTTTTATGTTACATATTCAAGCATTTTAACAGAAATTGCATCAAAATGAAGTGAAGGACAATGTTTGCTGATGATGCAATTAGTCTCTATTAGATCTGCTTCAAACTCATAGTTTTTAATTGCATAGCCCTAATTGCTCAGTAGCACATTTGTCAGTAATGCTGTTTTTTTCTTGGGCTGAATAGCATATGCTGTCCTTTTGCATATTAAGCCTGGTTTTCATTATGTTTTCTCTCAATTTTTAAATTATTTTTCATTTATAGTAATAGTTACATGAAGTACCTACAGTGCGATGCAAGTTTTTAATGTAGATTTTTTTTTTATGTTCAGTTATATGTCTTGAAATGTCAAGTAAGAATATTTATAAGAACAATACTGAAAGGACATGTACAAAGACAATGCAAATGTTGTGGATAGGGATCGTGAGGGTGTGAGTGATGATAAGACTAAAATACCAGACTTATCTAAACTCACACCACAAATGTACACATAAATGTGCACATAAAACTATGCCACACTCTCTTCTCTCAATTACAGAATCATAATACTCCCTTCTGTATGCACATACACCAACACTTTTTACACATGTTCTGCACTCATCCATAGTACACTTATACCGACACACATTTTTCGTGATGCCCAGCTTGTTTCTGCTGTAGGAGGGAATTCATTCATCAGCTCTTAGTTTGGATGGCATTCACACATAGACTGTTGAAATTACTAAGGGAATCAAGGTATAGAATGACTTTGATTTATTTTACTACATACATGTTATATAGGTTATATGTGATGTTATATTTGGTTTATACCATCTAAGGAAATTTGAGGGGGGTGACCAAAAAAAAAAAAAAAAAAAAAAAAAAAAAAAAAAAAAGTTGTGCAATACTACTAGGGACAAAGAAATGTGATCTTTAGAGGCACAGTGCATGTGTTATAGCACCACACTTAAATATTTACCAGAAATAAAATTGTCATATTGACTTTGTCATGATTTAGATTTTAATTGGAGATTTGTCAAAATTATCAAGTTGTTGATTAACCCAATGGTGCCGGGGAAAATGAATAAAAAATGGGGAAAATATTGTGCCCACTTTCTATGTTTTTCGTGAAATGTCTGCCGATAGATGGCTCTGCTAGCGCCTGATTTAAATGGCGGGAAAAACTTATTTTTCACTAGTGCTATGAAAATCGATGGTGTTATTTTTATCATAAACATTGTAATTTTTATAATTTTTTTTAACATTAGTAACAGCAAATTAAGATTACGTAAAATATTTTGTAAATCAAAGAAACGGGTAAACGGGCGAGACGGGCGGTGCTCGTAACTGGCTCATTGGGGAGTTAGTACAAGTGTTGCCATCTATGCGTAAAAACAATCAAACAAGTACTCACTGTGGGCATAGCACGTACGTACACGTCATACCCGGCACCAAGGGGTTAAGTATGTGATCAGCTGCCAACTGCGAGTTTTCACTTGATAGCCAGGCTGATGGGGGGGGGGATAGGTAAACCAGACAGGAAACTTATTTGAAATTTACAAGGTGTTTATTGCCAGTCTTTTAATTTATAGACTTTTATTCCCTTAAGAAATATATTTAGGAGGTAGGTATGTATGTATATTGAATTGGATAACATTTGACAGCTACTTTTGTAAGACTTGAATTCAAATAGACTTTGTAAAGAAAACCTTTCCCTTATTATTTAACCCCTTGTTCACAGGTGGCATCTACAATGATTGTAGGGATTGGTAGGGATGCCTTGGGTGGCATCCCTACAGATGTGGCCCTTACAGATGTACCCATTTGGCGGATCGCACTGCCGTTGAAAAAGCCTGTGCACATTGGGTTAATTAATAAAATAACTATACTGACAATATAAGGTGGAAAGTACAATATTGTCTAAATACCAAATATCTTGCTTAAATAACCTTTAGTGTTAATTTGATATTTCAGTTACATAGTTCTTTCCAATTTTTAAGAAGTTCATTGCTCCACTTTTGACTTTAAACCATCTTACTTTCCATTTATTAGTCAAATGCTAGTGTAGTTGTTAGTGCCTACATGTAAATCTGAAGTAGTGTACTGGAGTGAAAAACTGACATTTGAATCTGAATTTGAGTGTGGTCCTAAGTCTGTTGTTTTCTGATAATGAAATATAGACCTATCTTTTCATACCCTGTTTAATTCTTATACATGATGTGAGGGATTTTTCAATTTAGGCATTTTTTGAAACCCAAGATTCCATTTACGAATTTCTGTGATTGCTTGTGGCTTTACTATAACTTGTCAGATAACATTCGCAGTAAAGCAAATTCTGTCACTAATATTATTTTTGCATTTATTATATTTGTTGATTTTTGGATTTCATGGAGGGTAGAAAATTATACAAGGTGCTCTTTTCTTGTTCTTTTCTTTTATTATTTATTTGTTTATTAATTTTTTATTTATTTATTTATTATTATTATTTCTTTTTTATAGTGATTATGAATGACGTTAATCATCTTCATAATTATTCTCATTGCCATTATGATCATTGTTCTTACCTTTCTTGGGATCATTACAGTAATGGTAATAGTACTGCTATGCTGTTTGCAGTTGTAGTAGTACTAGTGTTGTTATAGTCACAGGTGCTGACATTTCCTATCATTATTAGTATTTCTCATTTTTTTATTAGAATTATTATAGATTTTATTAATGAAATATATTACTATTTTATTACCATTAGTATTACTATTACTATTACTATTACTATTATTGTTATTATTATTATTATTATTATTATTATTATTATTATTATTGTTATTGTTATTGTTATTGTTATTATTATTGTTACTATTATTATTATCTTCATTTTAATTGTCTATAGTAATCTTCATTGCTATCACTGTAATAATAGTATTTTAATCATATTCATTGCGACAGATGTAGGTTACATTTATCTCTTCATCAGAAATATTTCTGATGAAGAGATAAATGTAACCAATCAAATACATCTCTTGTATTCTGAAGATATTCATTCTCATTCATACCTTCTGTACTTGATTATACATATCATCATCAATATTATTATTATTATTGTTATTACTATTATTATTATTATTATTATTATTATTATTATTATTATTAATATTATTATTATTATTATTTATTACAGTCGTTTATTACAATCATTGCTGTCCTTTATACTATTTCTTTTACTATTTATTTCCTTACCTAAAATAACTGAAAAGTAGCATTGTGCTTTTATTACACACATGACACTCAAAGTGTGATCAGTGAAACTTTACAGTTAAACAAATAATTTTACATTAATAAAAGTGCTGGCTTTAAGTTGCTGTATATATTGTTTGGAACTTCTAGGTTCTTATTTTCTTTAGCAATGCTTTTTCCTTTTTGTGTCTCTGCATTTTATTCAAGATTATGCAGCTCTTGTATATATTATGCGGGTTAATATAGAGCATTATTTAGATCCATGGCTATGTGTTGATTGCATCAGATACTTGCGCTCTAAGTATATCGCCTTTAACAATGCAGCAATATATTTGACATTAAAGTAAGAATCTGAGGATTTCAGTTACTTTACATTAAACTCCTTGATTTCATATGAATATGGTATAAGAAGGGATTTACTAGAGATATCCTTATAACACATAAAATTCTAGTTTGCTATTTTTAATTAAAAAGACTATATTTCAGTCATACTACAAATTGAAATTCATTCATTGCTAATTTCCACACAACAGCCTGGGTGATGGGGTCACCTACCCTCAGCGATGTGTCGATGAAGATACAGATGACCTCCTAGGCTCTCGCCAACGATGGGCTGAAGATGAGGAAGAAAATGACCTTACCACAGGATTCACAAATAACCACACATATCGTGAGTATTGTTATTGCTCAGTAAATTACTATTTTGTTACGTTTGCTCTCTCTAAATCTAATTCTAATTGTGATTTTCTCAAAATTCCACTCTGTATTACTCTTTGTCCCTCTCACTAATTTTGTGTTAAAATATCTGAAACTTTCTCATTAGGGAAAAGAAAATTTCATGAGAATGATTAAGCTCAAAAAGTATGAGATTCTTTCTCATTTATGTCTTTTCTACAATTATTTGTTGCTTTTTCTTCCTAAATTTCTAAATCTTGGTCCTACTCTTTGTTTCCTCCAACTAAATATGAAGTTATCAAGTAATATTACAGAATAGCATTTTTTACCACTCAGTTTAATAACTTGCATTTCATTGGCAGCTCTGGAGGAGGTGGTGGTCCAGTCCAACCACACTAATCCTGTGTAGACCAGCACCTCAAAGAAGACCTTCTGTCGGCCTAACTTCATAGAGACATTCCTACACCCCAAGACAGTGTGGACTATAATGTTGCTGGAGAAGGGGGAGTCTCACTTCTGCTGTTTATAGAGTATTAAGATACCATAGTGCATACAGTTATTACTTCCATGACTTCATAGTAAACAGAAGTGCTATGCCTTAAATTTTGAACGTTTTTCTCACTGTGTCTTTAAAGGTTATATGATGGAAATCTCCAAGCTTAAAAATGGAAATGTCTGCAATGTCTGAAGTCGTAATAAGTCCTTTATGGGCCAGAATAAGATCCCAATTTATTGAATTAACATTAAAGTTAGAACAGAAACTATGCATTGAGCATTGGTTAGACAGAATTATGATGGAGTATGCTACATTTTATATTGAAGGAAACTTTATGCATAAGAAATAAAAGGATGTAACAAATCCTTTTTCATGATTTTTTTTTCTTTTTTTAAAGAAAACCAGGAATTTTCTTTTATTCTTCTTTTCTTAAATGAAACAGGAATTCTCATAATTTTTTGTACTTATTCATATTGGCAAGTATAATACATATCTGTACTCTCTGGTAGGGATAAGAGACTTTATTTTCTTGTCTTTTTTATCATTATTATCAATGAATTACTATCATTACTATAGATAGCTGATTGCTTTTGTGATCTTGTTGAAGTAAAGGATTCTTGAAGAGGATTCATGATATGTTCATATCTGACTGTGGATGTGTATTATTTATTGAAATTGTCTGATAATTAACAATTGGTTTCAAGTAATCAGCCAGATTATGATTTTAATGAGGTTTTTGTTTCTTTTGAACAAATACAATGCTACAGTTAAAAGTAGACTAGTCTTGTGATTTGATATTAAACACATGGTTTCAGTTTTTTTTTTTTCTTTCTTTCTTATATTTGCATTTGTGTGTATAGGATGGGTGCTTTTGTGTGCATGTTTTTGCATCAGTATGTGTGAGTGCTTGTACATACACATCAATGTACACATTTGTAATATTTACATGTGTTCACAATTACAAACATGCATATATATATATTAAAAAAAAAACAAAAAAAAACATGCTAAAACATATGCAAATCTGTATATTGAATTGTATCATGGATGAGATGTGTCAGTGTGAACATTTTTATATTTTTACTGTAGTGCAGATCAAGGCACTGCAGATAATTTTAGTATGCAACACAGTGTGAGGAATTTTTATTCCACTAAGTCACTAATTTTTGGTTTGTTTGAATGTGTAAATTTGAGATCTGTAATGTTTGCTTGTTCTTTTTTTTCTTTAGATAAATGATTGCTCTGAAGACTAACTTCGTTTTGCATTTCAGTTGTACTACTTTGACACTTTAACTACTTGAGCAATCTTCTGTGATGCCTTGCAACATTTTAGATATTCAAGATGAAATGACTACATTCTTGTAGCTGAATCAGTTTTTTTCTGTAGTCATACTTGTAATAATGACTCACCAAAGACTTCTCACAAGTCCTAGAATATATGACAGGCCTCCAAAACAGATAAAACCCTCATATCTTTTTTATTAGTAGTATTTTAAGGAAGTCAGAAGGTATGGAATTGCTCTTCTGTTTGGTTTGTTTCATTGGATTATTAGTACTGCTATTTTATAGAAAAAAATTATCTTCACATCTGCAGTTGCTTTTCATTATTGTGTTTCTTTATTTTATTATACAATTATAAAATTATTTCCCCTTGTTTGTTTCACAAATACCCTTCTGTGAGATAGTTACTTCTGTTGTACATTGTTTTGTCTGTTTAGGAAGCACAAATTTAATAAGCTAAGAAAACATAAAATGCAAAAAAAAAAGATAAAAACTAAATAATGGTGATGCACATGGGCTTGCAGGCTGACAAAAGTCCTGTAAAAGCCAGTTGTCAACAGTACATGGTAATGGCAAATAGCTTAATATTTTTAAAAATTATAGTGTGCAAGTGGCACCTCTGTGCTGTTTTGGTGACAAACTTGTGTTAACATGATGTCTTTAGATACTAGTATTTGTTGCATTTATGATATTTACATCACTTTGATATGAATATAATTTTATCATATTTCTTAAGTCTCTGCTCACATTGTACAGTTGACCTATTCAAAGAAAAACAATATTTTGTCAGTGCTGTACTTACAATGTTTTCAAAGATTTTGTATGTGTACTTGTAAATTGTATAATACATTGACAAAGATACAAAAACTGCTTTACCATTATATAACATGTTGAGCCCAAAGTGCTTGTAAGAGGATCAAGGAATTACCTCTGAAATGGCTTCATTTCTCTAGGAAAGACAGTCAATATTGGCAGGATGATTATTAGCCTTAAAACATGTATTTTAGGTCTCACTTTCGGGATGTAAATGTGATGAATTTTATATTAGATTCACACACTGTTATAAGGTTTCAATTACATAATGTTCCATTTCAGATCATCTTAGAAAAATAGCTTTGAAGTGA